AACTCTATGGGGAGGAGGTACCATTGTCATCCTTATCTACAGATGAGGAAATTGAGATTCAGGGAAGCTGAGTGACTAGCTCAAGGTCACAGAGCTGATCATTGGTGAAGCCAGACAGAATTCAAACGCAGAACTGTCAAATGCCAGCATCTGCAGGCTTAACCACTTTCCGGTTCTGGCATACAGAGATATTCCACACTCTGCCTTCTATTCTCCCACCTTACCCCTCCCCCACCCCGCGTGCAATTTCTGAGCAACGCAGAGGGCAGGGGGCAGGGCAGGGAGGGCACATCAACCTGACCTTGAGAATTCAGCCACAACAGAGCATGCCATCTCTGCCTTGGCTTCCCTCCTGCTGGCTGGTCCCGTCTGGCCTGGAGCTCGTGCTTGCTTACCAGTAGAGTTATTCTTCCATTTCTTACAGAAAGGGTGTAAACAGAGCAAGTGCATTTAAACTCCGCTTGCTGATACAAAGCTTTGTGGAAGCCACAGAGTGGGCAGGGAGACGCAGTGGTTTGGATCTCAGGGAGCCAGAGCTATATGGCCGGGGTCTGAACCTCAGCCTTGCTGCTCACTAGCAGAAGACTTTGGGTGAGATGCTTAACTTCTCCAAGCCCACATTTCCCCAGCTGTAGATTGGAGGTGACAGACATCATCCATCACACAGGGTCCCCAAGAGGATGCAAAGAGTTAGTGCATGAAGCTAAACTGAGCTGGGTGTGGAAGGAGGGCACACACAGGGTGCACACACAGGGTGCTGTTCCCAGAGCTGCAGCCTGACCCCCTGCAGTGCTGTGCTTATGAGCCAGTGCCTCTGGGCCATCTTTGACCTGATAGCCTCTCTGACTCCTGCAAGGCCCCTCTACCTCCACCTTGGTCTTCAGGGCCTGTTGGGGTCCTGACACAGCAAACTGATCAAACACAAGTCAGCCTATTGTTGGTGGATGTATTCCCCACCCCCTACCCCGATGGAGCAGGGCTCCTCTTGTGGTCTGGCCCAGCTCCAGGGTGGGCTGGCTCAGGGAGGGGACTGAATTCTTACGGAGCTTGTACTGAGCACCTGATTTTCTTCCTCACAACAAGGGTGCAAAGTAGTTGTGAATAACCTCAATTCATAATGAGGACACCAAGCCTTGCACAGGTCTGCCCAGGTGTCAGGCTGCTGGACACTTTTGGGCTCAGATGTCATGCCAGGGTCCTGGGGGTAGAAGTCTGGGAGATCAGGGCAAGTGCTTGACAAAGACTGCGGCACCCTCAGGCGGACTTTTGGAGCTGACCTGACACCTAGTGGCCATGGGTAGGAATTACTCCCCAGTCTGGCGGGTTCCAGGGCTGCTGCAGGCAGGGTTTTGGCCTGGCCTGGGTTATGGGGGCGGCGGTACCAAGGGGTGGCCTGGAGGGTCGGGGGTGGTGGGGAGAGATTTTGTTTCCCCGTATCTCCATCATTCCCCAAAACTACCCAAACAATAAGTAACATCTGATAAGAAAATGTGCTGCCTTTTCAATTTATACAAGAAATGAATAAAAGCATCTTAAGAAAGCTTTGCTGTTTTTATTGATCCTTAATCCACAGTCCATAGCAAATTTCAATACTTCACAGCCTCATAATCCACAGGGTTTCACCCAGACACCAGTGATTATTAGACGCTCAGTTACGAGCATGGACATGATGGAGAATTTCACAGATTATAACGGACTTTCAAGACAGGCTCCCTGACTTCAAGAGGATCCAATTTATTTGGGGAGTCAGAGTAGGGCCATCCACATGCTCCAATGGGTAGAGTGGATATGAATTTCAGCCCACAAACTCCTTATGGTGTTACTTTATTTTCTTTTTATCATCCTAGTTTTGACTCTGAGACCATATACCAACCAATTAATGGAAATTCAATTTTAGGCTAAGACCTTAAAAAGGGGAGGGGAGGGGAAAATTCGCTATGGGGAAAGGTACATGGATTATTTCAAGTAATGGTTCTGCCACATGTACAGACAGGGCTCAGTGTCACCTCTACCCTCGGTGAGGAAGCAAAGTGAAACCCGAGGGCTGATGCCTTGATTCCTAGATGCCGTTCCAGCACTCCACTGGGAGTTCCTAGGCACTCTCCAAACCCTCCCAGCCTTCCATCACATGCCCCAAACAACTGCCAGGTGAATGAGTTTGCTCATTGCACAGGCGTTCTTTATTGAGCACCTACTATGAGCAGGCACTGTTGCAGGTGCAGTTCCTGCCCTTGTTCAACCCAAAGATGACTGGTGAGGTTAACCCAAACCCTTGACGGTGCCCATTCCCCACACCTGCTCAGTGTATGCTGTTCTTGGATATTCCTGCTCTTCTTTTGCTAAGCTCCTCGTGCCTCCCCAGGTTTCCAAGGAATTTTACAAAGTAATGCAGCATGGTAGATCCCTGGGACAGATTGGGATCCATTTTTTTCAGCTGTTGCACTTTTCAGGTGGAACCATGAGGCTCCAAGTTCAGGTGGCCAGGTCACACCGGGCCACGGCTACATGCCAGTTCTCTCTGTCTCCTGTCCTGGGCTTCCTCCACGTGACCCCCCAAGCATTTGCTTCTAAAGGCCCTTGTCCTCATTTCCTGAGCATCTGTTCCTTCTGCCACTGCCTCCTGAATCTTAGCAATCTTCCCCTTGACACAGCTGACAAGTGCTATGATGACTGCTTTTGTGCACTGACACCCCCCCCCCCTGCTCTCTTCCTGCCGCCTAGCAACCCCTGAATTTCCAGTTTGTCTTTGTGGCTCTTAATGAGGCCACCAAGGATGTGCCCCCTAAAACCGGAGGGTGCCCCCCTGGGTAAGGGCATGCCACCAGCCCAGAGACCCAAGGCAGACTTTATTGGCTCGCTCACAGCCCTGGTGTTTGTCCGCTGAGGTTCCAGCCAGCTCTCCACCTCCTCCCTGCCACCAGCCAGCTTGCTGAAACTTCACTGTCGCAGAGACTTCTTTCCAGACCAGACTTGTTGCTATGGCCTCGTCTTTTTCAAGAAACTGGTTTGAAAGGTAAGGGGATAATGCTGAGCGCCAAGGCAGCCTCATGGCTGATCGACGGGAGTGCTTAGACGGGCTCAAATACATCGAGACCATCTGTAAACCCATCTCTGATCTCGGCAGAGCAGGGGGCATGGTGCTACTCGGCGCTGGCACGTGGGTGGGGATGGGTTTACCTTGTCAGCAGGACTTCGGCAGCAGATTTGAATTTAGAATATGCACACGCTCATCCTGGGTCGGCTCCGCCGAGCCCATGTTACAGAATCACACGTGTGCAAACACTGAATACGGAAGAATGTTGGTGACTGTTATTTGTAGTAGCAAAACACCAGAAATAACTTAAATGTCCACCCAATGGGATTGAATCATGAGACTTCTGAACTATGAAATCCCATGCGGCAGTTAAAAAGACTGAGATGGCTCTAAATGTATCAACGTGGACAACAGAGACATATTGCAAGGCAAAGCAAGTTCAGAGGAATGAGACAGTATGATTCTACTGTCCAGTTATGTTAAGAAGCTGTGTGTGTGTGTGTGTGTGTGTGTGTGTGTGTATGAGGGTAAAACAATACTCTGAGCCTACCACATGCCAGGAAGCATTCTAAATACTCCACAGGCATTAACTCATTTAATCCTCAAAAGCTCCCAGCGGCATGAGTACTATTACTAGCCCCCTAATACAGATGGGGAAGCTGAGGCAAGGAGAGGCTGGGTAACTTATCCAAGGTTCCACAGAAGCTGGGATTGGAACTCAGGTAGCCTGGTCCCAGAACCCATGCTTTTCACAACTATAGAACACACACACACACACTCAATTGCATGTACGTGGGAAAAGCTACGGAAACATGCACCTGTGATTGATCCTGAAAGCACCTGGGTCCCTCCGCCCTGGGCCCTCCCCACCAGCATCCCAAGGAACCTTAGCGGCACTTTAGGGAGGGCAGGTGGGGAGGTCCAGGGCACCGGGGCGTGACCAGCACAGAGTGGGTGGGCCCCGGGGTGGTCTGCAAGCCTGAGCCACCCTTGGGGGGGGGTCTTGCTGGGCGATGGTGTCACTTCTGAGTGACAGCCCCACGTGCCAGCCCATTATGTGCGTTGACCCCTCTTGATACTTATAAAACAATCTTAGGCTCTGTGATTATTGTCCCATTCTAAAGGCTCAGAGACTGGGAACCCTGGGCAGGGCTGCACCCTTACTAGGTCGACCAGCGTCTGCAGCTGGGTTTCTCCACACAGGAGATGCTGATCCAGGCAAGAACAGAGGTTTTAGGAGAAGGCTTGTGGGGCAGGACTAGGTGGGGGGTTCCTCCAACATCCTTAAGGATCTACAAGACACAAAGATACTACAATACACAGGGGCCTGATGGGATAACCCGCAGGCTGGCGGGGCCCTGCGGCCTTGGTGAGGAGGTCGAGCACGGTGGAGTGAGTTCCGGAACCACAGATCTGGGTTTCATAGGCCACCGCTGCCCCTTTCTGGCTGGGGGATCTTAGCTCTGTGCTTTCCTCCTGGAAGCTCTGTTCATCATTCACAGCATGGGGCTGAAACTATTTTAGCTGTTGGCGGCCGTGAGAATTCAGGCACCTGCTTGGTGGCTGGCGGAGTACTTGGCACGCGGTAAGGGCTCGTGGACGTTGGTTGCCGTTATTGCCACTGTCATGGTCCTTTCAGATCCCTTCGAGGAATGCAGCCTAAGTCACAACCTGCCTGAGCACGTAAGCCCCGCAGAGCTGAATGGCCTGTGGCTCCCCAGGGTACCATGTCGGCTCACACTTCGGACTTGGGACTTACCATCCCCTGTCCTCTTGCCTGTCTGTGCGACACCCCCTCCCCCAGTGGTGCTTCCTGTTTGGGCCTCCACGGTACCTGCTCACACCCCCACCACCCCTCACACCTCCAGCCATTTGGTCCGGGGTGTCACCTTCAGTCTTCTCCAGGTTGTGCCTGGGAGCTCAGGTCAACCCAGGGAGAGTGACCTGGAGAGAACTGGGGGCCTGCCTGGGCCAGAGGGGTGGCCCAGATGGGGACAGGCCACAGGGTGGGGACTGACCTGAAGTCCACCACGTCTGTCTTCTCACCCAGCGTCTTTATCAGCTCCCTCACTTGGTACCGGTTTATGGGGACCTTGTTTTGCTGAAGAGGTGGATAGAACATGAGAGGTC